GGTTAGAGAAAGGGCGGCAGGTCTTAGAGAGATGGGTCAATCTTATAGATGGTGAGGCGTTTGGGTTTAAAAGATGCAAACTAAACGCTGACATGCTGATGATGTGGCACTTTGTTTTGATTGTTCAGAATTGTGCATAAGAGAACATAGAAACTACTAACCTGTGTAAGGAGAACCAGGTTCCCTGGCTAATCTCTTATCTGTAAGCTTTTCCCTTTTACCAGTGTACAACTTCAAGTGCTTATTTGCTCTGTAATCATCAAGCGTGTCTACCTATAATGGTATAGAGATGAGTTAGACTTTACCAGAAAACACCTTTTAGCTAAGTTTACCTAAACCTTTCTTTCATAGCCAATCATTCAGGGACCGGGTTCTCAATTTGGTTTTATCAACCCCAAGGCCAGACGATTTTGCTCTAAGTGTTCTCTGCTCAGGTCCTTGGTAAATATATCTGCAATTTGGTCTTCAGTGCTGCAGAATTTCATGCATATAAGCCATTTCTCAACATTGTCTCTAAGGAAATGGTGACTTATATCAATGTGCTTTGTCCTCTTATGTTGAACTGGATTTTTTGCCATGTTGAGTGCACTAGTATTATCACATAAGAGAGGCACACTGTCTGAGAATACTCCGAAATCTTCCAATTGTTGCTTGATCCACAAAAGTTGAGCACAGCAAGAGGCAGCTGCTACATATTCAGCTTCTGTAGTTGAAAGTGCCACAGAATTTTTCTTCCTTGTACCCCATGAGATTAAGTAGGAACCCAGGAAGTGTGCCATCCCAGAAGTGCTTTTCCTGTCCACCAGATGTCCAGCATAATCAGCGTCAGCATACCAATAAGATCAAAACTGTCTCCTGAAGGATAATAGAGGACCAGGTCCTGTATTCCCTTGAGATATCTCAGTATTCTCTTGACAGCCTTCAGATGAGATTCCTTTGGATTGGATTGAAACCTTGCACAGAGACCCACGCTAAAAACAATGTCAGGTTTGCTTGCAGTGAAATACAATAGTGACCCTATGATTCCTCTATACATGGTCTGGTTTATAGGGGAACCAGGTTCATCCATGTCTATACGAGTAACTATTGCAATGAGCGTGTCGATAACCTTTGAGGCTTCCATATCAAACCTTTTCAGTAGCTCCTTGATGTACTTTTGCTGACTTATCAATATTCCCTTCTTAGATTGCACTTGAAGTCCTAGGAAGAAATTCAGTTCTCACATCATACTCATCTCAAATTCACTCCCCATGAGTTTAGCAAATTCTTCGCAGAGAGAGTCAGTTGTGGCTCCAAAGATGATATCATCGACATACACCTGAACAATGAGTAGGTTCCTCCCTCGTTTCTTTAGGAAAAGAGTGTTGTCAATCTTCTATCTTGCAAAGCCATTTTCTATAAGGAATTTTGACAAACTTTCATACCAAGCCCCGGGAGCCTATTTTAACCCGTACAATGCCTTATCTAGTTTAAACACATGATCAGGGTGTACGTGACACTCAAAACTAGGAGGCTGCTTGACATAGATTTCTTCTTTTAGATAGCCATTTAGAAATGCACTTTTGACATCCATTTGGAATAGAGTGAACTCCATATGAGATGCAAAGGTAATCAGAATCTTAATGGCTTCCATTCAAGCTACAGGAGCGAATGTTTCATCATAATCAACCCCTTCTTCCTGATTATAGCCTTGAACCACAAGTCTTGCCTTGTTTCTTGTTGTATTTCCAAACTCATCAAGCTTGTTTCTGAATACCCACCTAGTTCCTATAATGGTTCGATCAGCAGGTCGAGGAACCATGTGCCATACCTTGTTCCTTTCAAATTGATGCAGCTCCTCTTGTATGGTTGTGATCCAGTCTGCATCTTTTAGTGCTTCCTTTTATAATTTTGGGCTCTAATTGGGAAAGAAAGGCTGAGAAGGCAAGTGAGTTCCTTGATTTTGATCTGGTTTGAACTCCTGAGTCAAGAGGAATGATTATATTGTCAAGAGGATGTGAACTTTTGAACCTCCAATTTGGTGCCTGAGTCTCATTGGTAGAGGAACCAAGCATATTTGACTGGGATTTTTGAGCATTTCTTACTTCGGGGAGTGGGGTTCCTTGGACTGCATCAACAACTCTATTTTTAGCTTCAGTTGTTGTAATCGGGGGACCAGGTTTGTCTGCAATTGATGGAGATGTATTTGCATCTTCTTCACCGGATTCCTTGACATGGCTCATTATGTCTGCCTTTCCATTTGCTATGTCAATTACTTCACCTGGCACAGATAGGGGCTCTCCATCTTGATCAACATGTCTGTCCTTTTCAGAGGGGAGGTGAGCTTCATCAAAGATCACATGAATGCTTTCTTGTACACATTGAGTCCTCTTGTTGTCGACCTTGTAAGCTTTGCTTTGAGATGAGTATCCCAGGAAGATTCCTTCATCACTTTTGGCATCGAACTTCCCAAGAGCTTCCTTTCCATTGTTATGAACAAAACATTTACACCCAAAAGTTCTTAGATGTGTCAGCTTAGGCTTCCTTCCATTCAGTAGTTCATATGGGGTTTTGTTCAGAAGGGACCGGATCATGCACCTATTTACCAAGTAACACGCAGTATTGACAGCTTCTGCCCAGAAATATTTTGCGATCCCACTGTCAATTAGCATTGTTCTTGCTATGTCTTCAAGAGTTCTATTCTTCCTTTCCATAACACCATTTTGTTGAGGTGTTCTTGGAGCAGAAAAATTGTGAGTGATGCCATTTTCAATGCAGAATTTATCTAACTTGGCATTGTCAAACTCCGTCCCATGATCAGACCTGATGCAGGCTACTTTGTTACCCATTTTTCACTTGGATCGTTTTGACAAAGGCAACAAACACTTCAAAGGTTTCATCCTTGGTCTTGAGGAACAGGGTCCAGGTGAATCTGGAATAGTCATCGACTATTACAAAGATGTACTTCTTTCCTCCTCTACTTGGCACTCTTATAGGTCCACATAGATCCATGTGAAGGAGATCGAGTGGTCTTGCGGTGCTGACTTCCTTTTTGGGCTTGAACGCAGATCTAACTTGCTTCTCTTTATCACATGCATCACACACTTTGTGATCCTAGAAGCTTGATTTGGGCAGACCACGAACCAGGTCCTTCCTTACTAATTTTTTCAACAACGCGAAGCTTGCGTGACCTAGCCTCTTGTACCATAGCTCAGTATCATCATCAACAGCGCTTAGGCAACTTAAATCGCCATTTTTTAGCGACTCAAAGTCAGCTACATAGATATTTTTGTATCTTCTTCCCACTAGCACTACCTTACCCGTAACTAGGTTTGTTACTGTGTAGATTTTTAACACAAACTCGACCTTGTTTCCCTTGTCACAGATTTGGGAAACGCTTAGTAAGTTGTAATTCAAGCCATTCACGTAGTACACATTTTCGATTGAGTGAGAGAGAGACTTCCCAATCCTTCCAACTCCCAGAACGTATCCCTTCTTGCCATTCCCAAAGGATACACTCCCCCCTTGCAGGGCTTTTAGTGAAAGAAAATCATTTGTACTTCCGGTCATATGCTTTGAGCAGCCACTATCCATGTACCATTGTAGGCTACTTCCTTTCACTGTTCCCTGCACAAGAAGATTAGGAGTTAGCTTTAGGAACCCAAGCCAATTTGGGTCCCTTGTAATGAGGAAAGGAGTGAATAAGGGATCTTTTGGTCCATGCAGGCATTATGCAGTTTTTAAATGAGGGACCATGTTCTCGACTAGTTGTTACTTTTTCAGCAAAGGCTTTGCTTTTCTGCTGTGACTGACATTTGGCTTTATAGTTTTCTTTAAGGTGCCCATTGTTACCGCATTGGGTGCAAAGCCAATTGTCAGGTACAGTAACGTACTTGCTATGAGGGTTGTAAGGGGTCTTTTCCCTTTGAAACTCAATCCCCTACCTGTTTCCCCCATTGTTGGAGTACATGGCAGTGATAGCATCATAGGACCAGGTCCACTTGAGTGATTTTTAAAGACCACTCTTCACTCCACCTAGGTCTTCCTAAAGTTGTTTGTTTTTCTCAAGCTCAACACACAGACTATACTGCACTGTTTTTATCTCATTTCAAGCTTAATGTATGCCTCGCTTGCAACTTCCTTTCCTTTTTGATAATTTTCATCCCTACTTTCCATTGTATGTTTCCCAGTGGTTTCCTTTAAGTCCATTACTACCACTAGGAGGTCATCTCTTTCTTGTTCTACATTTTCAATCCTTTTCTTTAAGACATTTCTTTCCTTCTTTAGGTTCTCAATTGACTTTCTTAGATGGACTGCAACTATTACTAGGTCATCTCTAGACTGTTCTGTTCTCCTAGTTCAACTGTTATGATATCTTTGTCATTTACAAGACTATGATAAGCGTCGATTAGCACATTTGCCAAAGACATGAGTTTCTTAGGAGAATAAAATTTCAGATTTCTTTGAACATCCAGAAAATTTACCTCATCATCATCGTCATCTTCATTGTCAGACTAGGCCATCAAAGCAAAAATTGAATCATACTCGGTTGATTCACTTTCTACTGCCATCATAGAGTTGTACCTGGTTCATCATCTTCTCTAGATTCGCTTGATGAATCTCCCCATGCAGCAAGAGCTTGTCTCACAACATTGTCAGCGACATTTTTTCTATTGAAGCGTCTGTCAGGAACCAGGTTCCTTTTGATTGCTTTGTCAGAGTTGTTCTTGTACTGATCTTGCTTTAGGAGAGGGCAATCCTTGATGAAATGTCCTGGCTTGCCACATTTATGACAAAGATCATAATTCTTTGGCTTGCTAAAACTTCCCCTTTTTGGAATGCCTCCATTCGTGCGAACCATCTTCTAGAATCTTCTTGTTAGGCATGTCATATCACCATCTTCACCACTTGACTCGTTGTATTCTGTTTTGAGGACCAGGTTCTTCTCCTTCTTGGGCTCTCTTCTTTCATTGTCTTTCTTCTTTTTCATCTCATATGTTTTTAGATTACCAACAAGTTCATCAATAATTAGCTCTTGCAAGTCCTTTGCCTCTATAATGGCATTCACTTTGCTTTCCCAAGAATTGGGTAGCACCCTTAGGATCTTTCTGACCAGCTTTGTAATGGCATTCACTTTGCTTTCTTGGAATAGTTTCACCAAGAGAGTGAAGCTCATTAATTATCGAGGTGAACCGGGTATGCATTTCTTGGACAGATTCATTGTCTTGCATCCTGAAGAGCTCGTATTCAGTTGTGAGCATGGATTGCTTGACATGTGTTGTTCCTTCATGAGCTGTCTGCGGGTCTTCCCAGATTTCTTTAGCTGACTGACACGATGATATCCTGTTGTATTCATCCGGTCCAATACTACATGCCAGAATTTTCTTAGCACGAAAGTTCTTCTCTATGGCCTTTCTATCTGCATCGTTGAATTCTTTCCTTATCTTGGGAATTTCTACTGGTGGGTCGCCAAGGTTTTTGGTAGAAACAAATGGTCTATCACATATGACATCCCATAGCTCAGAATCTTCAGCCATGACGAAGTCATGCATTCTAGTTTTCCACCATCCATAATACTGTCCATTGAACCTAGGTGGTCTGTAAGTAGACTGGCCTTCTTCGAAGTTTGGAGGAGCAGCCATGAGGATCCTTTCTAGGTGTTAACCTGATAGAATTGATAGAATATAAGGGCCCACCAAACTCTATAGAGAACCAGGTTCTCTATCAGGTCCAACAGTACACACAGACACGACAGTAATTAAATGGAAAGAGGAATTTTACGTGGAAAATTCTCAGCTCAACGGGATTAAAAATCACGACCTACCTTTGTAGGATTTCAACTTCACTACTGAGAAACTTTTATATTACAACCTATGCAACCTAGGAATTAACCTCTTAATCCCTCACTAACTTGCAATACTCTATTACAAGCCACTTTGTAATAACTCTATTACAAAGACTTTACAACATGACTAACTCTAGTCAAGACTCAAACACACTGGTTTAAGGTTTACAAATGGGTTCCTATAGAATGCTTCCAAACAAGCTGGATAGGAATTACAATTAAAGAACTATTACAAAGTTACAATCCAACTAAGGACATACAATAACTCTATGTGGGAAATGGTCCGTAGTTGTTTTGTTCTTTGTTCTTGAAGCACTTGAAACTTGCTTTCTGGATAGTCACGTTGAATAAGCTTGTATAATGTTCAAGTTATTTGTTTTACCTCCCTTGCATGCATATATACATGTGTGACATCACTTACAATGATGCAAGCAAGGTAGGTGAAAAGTATTCCCTGGAAGGTTGACTGCAGCACTATTCTGCACAGTAGCGTGTACAGGCAGCAACTTTCCAGCTGGAAATTGTCTTCGTGCAGTCTCCTCGGGAACTGGTAGGGACCTGGTCCCTCAGCTATTCCTTCCACTTCTGAATGGTTGAACCATATTCCCAGCTGAATCCCATCACAAGATCTTGTCATCTTGAGTTCTTGTTAAATGTGCAATAGATTCCTTATCTGTTTCTGGATAGTAAGTTTCTTAGATCATCAAAACATAAAGTAAAGTACTTGTAACCTATCAGAAGTGCTTTCTCAATATAAGCACATTCATTTTTCTTTCCACCACCAATGAGGGACACTTGCTCTTTCCAAAGAAAAAGGGAGCTCACTTTTCCTCCACTTTCTTCCCTCCATTTCTCATTCACCAATCTTTTAATCCCAACATTCCCCCACATGAATGGGAATTGGCTATAAGATAAAGGAATGCACGGACGAGTGTTTGATTTAAATGCAAGTATTAATTGCATCTGAATAAGTATGTTTCCTTTTGAACTTTCTGTAGTGAACTTATATAGGATATACTCGGTCAATCGGTAGATTTGATATCTTTGAACCATCGAGCTTTGTTGTATACCTGGACAACATAAGTCACACAATCAAACCTTAACCATCTTTGGTTCTTACGGTTGTGTTCGTTTCAGCCATGAACACCGACTGATTTCATGAGTGCTTAGAGAATGGGCCTTTTCTTTCATTCCCTTTAAAGCGGCTTACACTTCACACTCACATCGGTGATTCTAAATGTGTAATCCTATAGACACACTATTTGGTCATATCCTGCCAGACTTAGCAAATCGTTAAAAAGCTTTAAGCTTTATTGACTCATCAAAAAGCCTTAATGCTTTACCTTGATTTCTGAACATTGTCTTCATCACGAGGATGAGTTGAGTTATTTGACAATGTTGAACCATCATTCATAACTTTATTTGATCTCTTTGAACCTAACTCTTGGGATCTCCAGTCTGCTAGGTAGAGTTATCGCCATGATGACTTGTCCTAGGCCTTAACCCCATTCCTCGATGATATTTCAACTGTCTCTCTAGGTAGGCCTTTTGTAAGTGGATCCGACACGTTATCTCTTGACTTTATGTAGTCAATCGTGATGCCAATAAAGAGTAGTTGTCTAACCATATTGTGTCTTCGTTGTATGTGACGAGATTTTTCGTTATACATAATGCTCATTGCCATGCCTTTTGCCGCTTCACTACCACTATGTATACGTATAGGTGCCAAAGGTTTGGGCCAAAATGGAATATCTTCCAAGAAATTCCAGAGCCATTGAGCTTCTTCACCGGCCTTTTCTAAAGCTATGAATTCAGATTCCACTGTTGAACGGGCGATGCGCGTTTGTTTGGATGATTTCCAAGACACTGCTCCACCCCCAATTGTGAAAACATATCCACTCGTGGATTTAACTTCATATGATCCGGTGATCCAATTTGCATCACTATATCCCTCGATCACTAAGGGATATTATTTATAATGCAAAGCATAATCTTGGTTATATTTCAGATACCCCAAAACTCGTTTCATTGCCATCCAATATATTTGATTGGATTACTTGTAAATCAACTCAGTTTGCTAATAGCACATGCTATATCTGGTCACATACAATTCATGATATACATCAAACTTCCAAATACTCTTGCATAGTCTAGTTGTGAGTCACTTTCACCTTCATTCTTTTGAAGTGCATAACTCACATCAATTGGAGTCTAGGTAATCTTGAAATCCAAATACTTGAACTTGTCAAGTACTCATTCAATGTAATGAGACTGTGATAATGCTAGACCTTGTGAAGTCTTGTGAATTCTGATTCCTATGATCACATCAGCAACTCCTAAGTATTTCATGTCGAATTTGCTAGCCAACATACGCTTAGTAGCATTTATATCTGCCATATTTTTGCTCATTATCAACAGGTCATCAACATATAAACAAATAATGACTTCATGACCTGGAGTGTTTTTAATGTAAATATATTTGTCGCACTCGTTGATTTTAAACACACTCCAACGTTGTTTGGTCAAATTTGGCATGTCATTGTTTGGGTGCTTGTTTAAGTCCATAAAGTGACTTAACAAGTTTGCACACTTTTTTTCTTTACCCGGAACCACAAAACCCTCAGGTTGTTCCATGTAAATCTCTTCCTCCATTTCTCCATTTAAGAAAGCTGTTTTAACATCCATTTGATGGATTTCAAGACCATACACGATCGCCAGTGCCACTAATACCCTAATAGATGTTATCGTCGTTACTGGCGAGTAAGTGTCAAAGTATCAAGGCCTTCCTTTTGTCTATAACCTCTGATAACAAGTCTTGCCTTATATTTCTCAATAGTGCCGTCAACTTTTGTTTTCCTTTTAAAAATCCATTTCGAACCTAAAGTCTTATTTCCTGAAGGAAGATCAATCAATTCCCATGTATGGTTATCCAAAATTGATTGAATCTCACTATTGACTGCCTCTTTCCAAAATGCTGAATCAGAAGATGACATAGCAGCTTTGAAAGTTTGAGGCTCATTTTCAAGCAAGAATGTCACAAAATCTGGTCCAAAGGAAGTAGATGTTCTTTGACATTTTCTACGCCTTAGATCCTCTTCACTTGGAGTATTTTCTTTTGGTTCTTCCCGTGGTCATTTAGGTCTTTCACTTAACGACTCGCATTCAATTTTATACGGATAGATGCCTTCAAAGAATTCAACATTATCTGATTCAATTACCGTATTAGCATGAATTTCAGGATTATCAAATTTATGAACCAAAAACCGACATGATTTACTGTTTGTAGCATATCCAATGAAAACACAATCCACAGTTTTTGGTTTGATTTTTACCCTTTTGGGTAAAGGAACTTGTACCTTTGTTAAACACTCCCACACTTTGAAATATTTCAAGTTGGATTTTCTTCCTTTCCATTTTCATATGGAGTAGATTGTGTTTTGCCGTGGGGTACTCTGTTGAGTATTTGGTTAGCCGCAAGGATAGCTACCCCCCACAAACTCTACGGTAATCCGAAACTTATTAATAAAGAATTCATCATTTCCGTTAATGTTTGATTTTTACTTTCCGCAATTCCATCGGATTGAGGTGTGTACGGGGTAGTATTTTGATGGATATTCCATATCCCGAACATATTTCTACAAACAAAGATTCATATTCTCCACCCCGATCACTTCTAATCATTTTGATCTTTTTATTCAATTGATTGTCCACTTCATTCTTGTACTGCTTAAATGCTTCAATTTCTTCATCCTTATTATTAAGAAAATAAACATAACAATATCGAGTACAATCGTCGATAAAAGTTGTAAAAAAAATTTTCCACCTCGAGATGGCGTCGACTTCATATCACAAATGTCAGTATTTAAGTCTAAAGGATTCGAATTCCTTTCAACAGACTTATAAAGATGTTTTACAAACTTAGATTCAACACATATTTTACATTTTGATTTATTACACTAGAATTTAGCAATACTTCTAAATTAATTGACTTCCGCAAGGTTTTGTAATTGACATGCCTAAAGAAATATGCCATAAATCATTTGACTCCAATAAATAAGAAGAAGCTGAAATTTTATTAATATTGTCAACAACCATTACATTGAGTTTGAAAATGCCATCTGTGAGGTAGCACTTTACAACATACATTTCATTTTTGCTTACAACAACTTTGTTAGATACAAATATAGAAATTGAAACCAATTCTTCCTAATAGTAGGAACATGAAGAACGTTGTTGAGCGTTAACACCTTGCCGGAAGTCATCTTCAGGAATATCTTCCCAAACCTCAATCTTGGATGTTGCAATATTTTCCATGGAGAGCTCTTCTTCGGGACCGGCATTAGAGTAAGTCGCAAATGCTTCTTTGACAGCACAAACATGTCGAGTGCCTCTAGACTCAATCTACCACTCCTTTGGATTTCCAACTAGGTTGCATTCCGAAAGCATTGCACACAGATCATCAATGTCATCATTCTTCCCCACTATGTTAGCTTGTCCCTTTTTCTTATCCTTTTTTTGGGAGACGACAATCACTAGCTTTGTGACTAGCTTTTCTGCAATTGTAGCAGTTGACCTTTAATTTTTTCTTGTTCTGCTCCTTAGTCTGTCCAGAAAACATCTTCCTCTTCTTACTTTTTGGAGCAGTCTCCTCAACGATATTAGCTCCCATAATCGTTGAATTTCCATGAGACT